TGATGGCTTTCTTCTTTAATTTGTCATTCCTGGCATAATAGGCCATATGATTGTCTGATTCAATATGGCCTGTATCAGTCCATTTTGGCTCACTAATGCCTAGGATATCGATCTTCAAGTGTTCCATTTCATTTTTGACAACTCCCAATTTTCCTAGATTCATACTTCATACATTTCACGTTCCAATTATTAATGGATGTTTGCAGCTGTTTCTTTTCAATTTGAGTCGTGCCATATCAGCAAATGAAGGTCTCAAAAGCTTGACTCTCCACGTCATTAAAGTCAACTCTACTTTGAGGAGGAAGTTCTTCCCCAGTGATATTTTGAGTGCCTTCCAATCTGAGGGGCTCATCTTCCTGTACTGTATCAGACAATGTTCTGCTGCTATTCTTAAGGTTTTTGCTGGCAAATTTTTCAGAAGCATATTGCCAGGTCCTTCTTCCTAGTCTGTCTTAGTCTGGATGCTCTGCTGAAACCTTTCCACCATGGGTGACCCTGCTGTTATTTGAAATACTGGTGGCATAGCTTTCAGCATCATAGCAACATGCAAGCCCCACTGTATGACAATCTGACAGACAAGTTGTGGCCACCAAATGAATAATAGCAAAAAAAAAGAGTAAACTTATTTGTTTATATAAAAATGTATATATTTATTGGTTCAAAAGATGATGAAATGAAAAGGTAAACATGGGGAAAATGTTGGCAAAAAGTAACAGTCAGTGTCAGCAACATAAAAGAGAACATACAATTAGTTAAAAACTTAACCCTGATTATAAAAATGTGCAAATGACACGAACAGTTAATTTATTAAAGAGATACAAATTGCTGATAAGCGTGAAAATTGTTCAAACACATTTATAGTAACGGAAAATAAAAATAAAACAATAATGATCTATCACTCTTCATGCATCTACTTGCTAGATCTCTAAGATTTTACTTTGTGGAAGATATGTAGAATGCGTCCTCTGACACACCCTTGGAGGGTAAATAAATTGGTACAAACTTTATGGAAAGCCATTTTGCAGTGTGCATCAAGAATCCAAAAAGGTCCATACCTTTTAACTTAGTCATTCTCCCTGTAGGAGTTTATCCTAAGGCAATAGTAAAAAATTCAAAGATAAAGTAAAAAGATTTTTTTAAGAAAATGTTTTGTGAATCTTCCCTTAGGAAGATGACTGGAGATGAAGGTGCTCTTGATCTAACATGCCTTCAGGTCCTGACATGCTAGTTGAGTCCCTGGGTGGCACAAACAGTTAAGGCACTTGACTGCTAACCAAGTGGTTAGCGGTTTGAATCCACCCAGACGCACCTTGGAAAAAAGGCCGGGCAATCTACTTCCAAAAAAATCAGCCATGGTAAACCCTATTGAGCACAGTTCTACTCTGACACACATGGGGTCACCATCAGTTAGAATGAGTTGAGACAACTGATTTGGTGTTTGGGTTTGACATACTAGTGGCAATTTCAAAAATTTGGCTGGAAAACTCTGAGTTGTTAGAGGAGAATTCATTAAGAGATAAATGTCTTGGTGATGCCATTTTTCATTCCCACAAGCTTCAAGGGGTATAATTTGATGAAGTGGGAATGAGACAGATTAAGAGGCATTGTGACATTGGGTGTGGAGAGTGGAAGGGAAATGAAAGAAAGGAATAACCACTGCTCTGCCTGTGAACAGGAGCCCTAACCCCATTCTAAGAGGCACCTCACCAATGAAGGCTCTCCGGTCAGGGCATTTGGTTTCTTCTTCATTGGTTAAGAAACCACACTCTACAAATTAAAGTTGTTCCTTAAGAGGAATGTCTGTATCAGGGTGTGTGTGCACGTGTGTATGCACGTGTTCAGTGGTTACCCACTGGACAATTAGGAGAGTAAAATAAGAGGCAGGCCAACAATTTAGAGTGGTGGGGAAAGCTTGAAGGGAAGAAGGACTTAGAGTGCTATTGCATTACTTATTGCCCTTTTCTGGGCATTACTCCTGGACCTGCGTTTACAAAATCAAATGCCTTTGGAAGCCAGAAATAAATTCTTAGTCATAACACCCTCATCTGCCATGATGCATCAAGGGAAGAAAGAGGGGAAGTTCATTTTTTCAGTTCCGGAAATACATTTATTCACACATTTCCCTATTCGAGTCTGTTAAACAAAATCTGATCTTAATTCACTATATTGATTTCTTGAACCCCTAATGGCTTGCAGAGTCCCTGCAAGGGTAGTACAAACAGTTAAGGGCTTGGCTGCTATTAACCAAAAGGTTGGTGGTTCGAATCCACCCACAGGTGCCTCTAAAGAAAGCCCTGGAAATATGCTTCTGAAAGATCACAGCCATTAAAAACCCTATGGAGTACAGTTATACCCAGAAGCCCGTTGAGTCACCATGACTCAGAGTCGACTCTACGGCCACTGGCTAATGGGTTGCAAACTACAGTGTGAAAACCACTGCTTCAAAGCATTCTAATTTAACTCTTTTGGAAACACTGTGTAGACCCAAGTAGATGTATTTGTAGACCAAACTCAGCCCATAGGTGGCTAGCTTGCAACCTCTTTCTTAATCAGAAAACTCAGAATATGTGCTGCTGGGGGAAGAAGAAAGGTTCCTAGGGTGGAACAATTCCTGTGATTCTCCAGCAAGGTGAGTGGAGAGCCTCGTGAGAGAGGTTGGAAGAAGGAAGCACTTTCAAGGGGTATGCAGACCTGAGGGCAAGGGGCATTCAGACTGAGCGTGCCCACAAGGGGCTCCAGTGGGAAAAGGCATATTTAGCTCACTGTTTTCAGTTTTTCCCTCCTGCAAGATAGTTCCTTTCAGTCATTTCAACCCTTCAATGAAATGTGACTTGCCTGTGTAGCCTTGTGTGATGTTGGTTTGGAAAATGAAGGGAAGGGGAGTAAAGAGAAGCGTGGCCAGTCCCACTTCCACACATCTGGCAGTACTGATGGAGAAGGAACAATGTCCTTCAAAGGGAATGTTTCTGAGAAGTTTCAGACTCCTCAGAGTGAATAGTGGCCCGTGGAGGAGCATGAGCCCTGAGGAGCAATTGCAGAGTGAGCAACTCAGGGGGCAGCAGGAGAAATCTCCTCTCCTCAGATGCTAATAGGAGGAAAGTTGAGAATGAGAGTCAACATTTATTGCATTAAAAGAGTGTAAACCACTTTCCAAACAAAAGGAGAACGCCTAAAGAAGTCAGGTTACAATTATAGAATGGAATATTATGCAGCTGTGACGACGATGTTTTTCAAAAAAATACTTTATGATGCAGTCTGAATGTAACATTAACGTTTAAAAGTTGAATAAAAAATTACAAAACTAATATGAGAATTCATTTTTTTGAATTATATGTATATGTGTGTATATATGAATGAAAGACTGAAAAGATGTGTATAACAGTGTTAACAGCGGTTACTTCTGACTGGTGAAATTAGTTATGATTTTTATTTTCCTCTTTTTTACTTTTCTTTATTTTCCAAAATCATTTTAATAGCACAAATTACTTTTATAACCAGAAAAACACCCAATAAATTTTATTTTGCAATCTATTACTTGGTTGTGACTGACCTGTCAAGAAGATTGGATGTTATAATGAAATTTTATATATATTCCTGTAAGTTTGAACAGGATTTAACCACTGAAATTCTGTTCTCCTCGCCAAATGGACTTTTCCCCCTTGAGTTGTCTTTATTCTTTAACGTTGTCAAAGCTTAGTATGGTGAGAGATGGGGGAGAAATCTGTCTATCTGTCTGTCTGTCTATCAATCTAGAAAAAGAGAGAGAGTTTATTACAAGTCAAAAAGAATCCGAGGTTCTTGGTTAGGGAAGTTGGCCTTGCTCACTGTGGTAGAAAAGTTGATTACAGGAGAGAAGTGTCAAGGGAAAGAAGTCAAAAAGTTTTGTCATCCCCACATCCAGTTTGCTCCTGGATACCATTCAATACGAGGCTGAGGACAAGTTCAGAGGCAGACAACTGACATTTCTTAGCTTTACTTGCCCACTTGTTGTTTGTTGTTTTGTTGTGGTTGTTCTTATTTTAAGAGACACGAATGGAGCTTTCAGAATGGATTCATTGAGCATGCTGACAACAACTAACCCCCCACCCTGTGCCACCGCTCCCAAATGGAAGAAGGTACATTTGATGGTCTTAAAGCCTAAAGGAAGTGCCTTAGATCCTATCTGAGGAAAGAGATTCCTAGATAGCATGTTTTTGATACTGAATTTTTTTAATCATTTTTTGAAGAAAGTTTGAAAATATCAATAGAAAAAGTTTTCTCTGAAAACCAAGTTGTCTAATAAGACATAATTAGCATCTGTTCTAGATCAGCACATAAATTATCTTCCTTTTTTCCAAATAGGCTTTAGCAAAACTTTGATTGTAGCCCCTCTTTTTTCTACTCTAAGTCACTTTTAAAAGTGGAGTGATCAACATGCAAGAGAAAAAGCAAAGCGCCTGAAGCCCCCTGCCCCCCAGAGCCCCACTCCCACCTCCACCAGCAGGACCACAATGAGAAGCATTTTGAATCCAGCTGTAGATGACCTGTGGTTTAGCAACACCACCTCCTTCACTTCATTAGTGTGAAATCAGAACCACAAAGATATGGTTCTGTTTAATACAGGTCTATCAGTTAATCCAGACGCTATTCATTCTATATATGAATACGAAAAAATAGGATTCCATTGTTGTTAGCTACTGTGGAATGAGCTCCAACTCATGGCGACCTTATATCTAACACAATGAAGCATTGCCTTGTCCTGAGTCATGCTCGCAATTGCAAACATATTTGAATCCATTGCTGTGGCTACTGTGCCAATCCATCTCTCGGAGGGACTCCCATACCCTCGATGACCCTCTACTTCACCAAACATGATGTCCTCCTCTAGCAATTGATCCCTCCCGACGACATGTCCAAAGCCAAGAAAGTCGGACAATACTCTGTTGTGATCCATAAGGTTTTCTTTGGCTAACTTTTGGAGGTAGAACAGCAGGGCTTTCTTCCTAGTCTGTCTTAGTCTGGAAGGTCCACTGAAAACTGATTCACCATGGATGACCCTGCTGGTATTTGAAGTACCAGTGGCATAGCGTCCAGCATCTTCTTGTTGTGGTTAGGTACTGCTGAGTACATTTGGACTCATAGCGACTCACGCGTCAGAGTAGAAATGCCCTAGCATCATAGTAACCTACGAACCACCGCAGTACAACAAACTGACAGATGGGTGGTAGTTACACTCACTACTTAATGTAATACCAGTAGAATTCAGTAGGTGGCATAAAAGAGCATTTTTTTCCTCCAACACTATAAATGTGGCTACCTCAAGATAAATACATGTTTGAGGAAGTGCTTAAATTTATTTCAGACTGCCAATGAGACGGAGAGGCAAATTGTCTTGGTAAGAAACATCTTTTTTCGTTATTCTATAGAGGAAAGTAATATGATGCAGCTGGTTACTGGCTACAAAAATCTCAAAAGTCTCTAGGACTGAGTTCTGGTTGTTTTTCTGAGTGGGTTATATTTCTGATATGCACTTACTATGTGGTTTGAACTAGCATTTGTTAATCAGCTCCTAGTCCTGAGTCAGAGAATGGTTTTTTTGTTTCTGTCCCTGAATAGTACCTTATGCGTGATTTGCTTTCAAGAGATATTTTTTAGTCAGGAGGAGAATATTTGGGTCACAAATGTCTTCTCATGTCTTGCAGAGCTGTTAGTTGATTTCAAATGGCGTTGTTCTTTCTTCCCCTACCTCCATATTCTCTTTGCAGTGAGAACTTTAAGGAAAATGGGATGTCAGAAAATTACTCCTGGAGGCAATGGCATACTGCTGTATTTAACTCCTCTGTTTTTATGGGCAGGTCTATTTTAATTTTTCCTCTGTGCCATTCCCATTACTTTTCTGTTTTCTCAGACCACTGAAACTGTTTTGGGGAATGTAGATTTTGAAAACGTTTCCCAGGCTACACCCAATTTGGTCAAAAGACTTGAAAGTGAATGGGTCTTTATAAGAAAAGACAAAAGTTCATAAAACCACATAGGAATCAAAGCAGAAAAAACTCTTGAACTGGTCTTTTCCTTTCAACTTGTGGTTAATAAGTCTGGTCTGGTGCAGAGAAGACACTCACTAGATATTGTGGGACTGACCTAAATGGGCCAAGATGATTGTATGGTTATTATCCATTAAGATCAAAGTCCTAATTTGGTGTACCTCCCCCATCACCAAAAAAGTGCAACTCAAATGTATTGACTGATTCATTGTATCATATAAGGTGAGGCTGTTGTCATTAGTATTGCTATCAAGTCGGCCCCAGACTCATGGCAACCCCATGTACAAGAGAACGAAATGCTTCCCTGTCCTTCACCATCACCATGATCAGTTTGTGGATCGAACAGTTGTGATCCATAGGGTTTTCACTGACTGATTTTTGAAAGTAGATTGTCAGGCCTTTTCTTCTAGTCCATTTTAGTCTGGAAGGTCTGCTGAAAGCTGTTCAGCATCATAGCAACACACAAGCCTCTGATGACAGACAAGTGACGGCTGCAAATGAGGTGCATTGGCCGGGAATTGAACCCAGGTCTCCTGCATGGAGGCGAGAATTCTACCACTGAACCACCACTGCCCTTTAATGTGAGGCTAAATATATCATAATTATCCAAGTTGACATAAACATATCTAGTGATATTTTATATTTCCAGATTAAAGCATCCATTTACTAACTAACTTAGCAAATAATAATTTTATTTAGTAGTAAAATAGTTTTGAGGTTCTAATATAGATGAAATTCAGTGATAGTCATTAGGACTTTGATAAAAAAAATACTTATTTGGTTTGGTCTACTCCATCCTATAGGGTAGCTATGAGTCGGAATCTACTTGACGGCAATAGGTTTTCGTGTTTTGGGGGAAATGAGACATTGATTTTCATTGATTTGATAAGTTTGGCATATAAAACTTAAAGATCCTTTAAAAAAAAAATCCCATTGCCATCAAGTCGATCCTGACTCATAGTGACCCTATAGGACAGAGTAGAACTGCGCCATAGGGTTTCCAAGGTGGATTCAAACTGCTGACCTTTTGGTTAGCAGCCAAGCTCTTAACCACTGCACTACCATGGCTCCACAAAAATCCTTTAAGTAGCTAAAAATTAGTTTCTTGTGTATACAGTACTTTGATTTATCAATTAAAGAAATAAAGATGGTTTCATGAGCTGAGTACTTCAAGTTAATGACTTCAGATGAGAGGGCAAAATGGAGGTCAGGCAAATAGAAGACATTTGAGTCAGTAAAATAATTTATCTGGACATAAAGCTGAAACAGTGCTTTCATTTAATGCTTGGGGACTGGAGGTTTTATAAATTTAAGTCTTTTGTGGTGTTAGTGGTTTTTAAGGAAATAAGGACAACTTTCATCTTGCTTGGGGTTGGGTCCACTGTGTGCTACGCATACACGCCCTGTCTCTCTGCCTCTGTCTCTAGGTATTTTCTGCATAGCGTGCCTGGTTATGCTGATCACTGCTTCTAGCCCTTGAACTCTGGAGTTGGCCAGAAGGTAGAAAAGTCCTCAGATTGGGGTTCAGGTTTAGAATTAAGTAGGAAACCCCACTTGAGTCTAAAACCACTCTTATTTCAACTGAGCTTCTATCAATGGTTCTGTTTTGAGATGTTGGGCACTGGCCCGGGCAATAATTGGGTGTTGCTTTGATCCATATTTAAGTATTGTTTCTTTTGTCAGCAGTTCTTTCAGGAAGCTGAAGAGGAAGAACTGGGAAATTCTCGGATCCTCCAGCCAAATATAACCAATGCCATAAAAAAGCCACCTTTACTTTTAACATGCACTTTATGTCTGTGTCCCCTTCCTTTCTCAGACACTTTGTAAGCAGTCATGGGGATACCAGCCCCTCTTCTGTATTAGATGAAATCAGGACTATGAAGACATCCTTGGGAAAGGGTAAGTCTAAGGGAAACTCCAAGAAGCAGATAAGTTTGTATGTCTAGCTTGGGAGACTACTGCAACCCAGAGTTGCTTCGGGGACATGAATTATTTAGGTCCTTCTGTGACTGTTGAGATGTGTGAGGAGACAGCCCCAGCTGAAAGGGCCTCTGGGGGTGAGGGGTGTATCATTCTCCAGGGCTCATTCCAACATAACTCCCTCTGGCAGAATGTGCCACAGGAATAGTGATAACAAAATAGTGTCTGAGCTATGGTGGGTTATTAACTAGTGCAATGGGCATAACCTAGAGCAATGCCTAGCACTTCATGAGGAATAAATACGTATTTGATGAATGAATGAATAAATGAGTGAATGAATGAAAATTTTTCTAAATGAGAGAGGAGGAAACTGCTCTGATCTTCAAAACCCTCCAGTGCCCACTGCCCCCTGCCCAGGCCCCCAGATCTCTCAGAGCAGAATCCCAATCCTTGCAGTGATCTACAAGGTCCTGTGTGATCTCAGCCCTAACTCCTTGTCCTCGCTCACTACATGTTAACATTGACCTCCCTGCTGTTCCTCAAACAAACCTCAGTCCCACCTCAGGACCTTTGCATTTACTTTTTCCCTGACAGAATGCTCTTACCCCAGACCTTCTCATAGATTATTCACTCATTTCCTTCTGCTTTCTGACCAATTGTCGTCTTCTCAGAAAGGCTTTCTCGGACCAATCTATCTAAAATAGCCACCACCAAGTACCACCCCGTGCTTACTATTATCCTCACTTCATTTATCCTGCTTTCCTCTTCTTTATAGCACTCATCACTACATACAATGAATTTACTCATTTACTTGTTTATTACCTGACCCCCCACTAGGCGATAAGCTCCCTGAAAGCAGGACTCACTGCTCTATCTCCAGTTTCTAAATCATGGCCAGTAGGGTGATCAAAAGTATTGGTTGAATAAATTAACAGACGAGTGAAGGGATCTTCTGAGAGACCTTTTATCATGATCTAGTTACGTTTTGGATAAAACCAAAGTTAGGCCCCAAACCATGGAGGTAATAAAAGATAATGTAAGAGTAGTCCCAATCTAACCACATGGGAGGGGAACTCTCAAGAAAGCCATGGGTAGGTACATGTCAAAGGGTGAAAAAACCTACCACTGGTTGCCCTGGAGTTGATTCCAAATCATGACAACACTGTGTCAGAATAGAACTGTGCTCCATAGAGTTTTCAGTGGCTGATGTTTCAGAAGTAGATCACCGGGCCTTTCTTCTGAGGCACCTCTGGATGAACTCGAACCTCCAACCTTTTGTTAATTGTTTGCACCACCCAAGGACCCACCAGCTGTGAATTCTAGCCTGAGTTCTAAACGATCTTGGGAGGGCTGGGGCCAAAGGACTTCCCATGATTAAGTAAAGCCATCTGTACTGGTTTCTGGTGGCTACTGTAACACATTACCATAAACTTGGTGGTTTAAAACAATAGACATTTATTCCCAAGCAGTTCTAGAGGCCAGAAGTCCCAAAACAAGGTGTTGACACGGTCCTGCTCTCTCCAGAGCCTCTTCCAGCTTCTAGTGGCTGTTGGCATTCCTTGCTTGTGGCTGCATCACTCCAACCTCTGCTTCTGTCTTCACATGGCCTTTTCCTCTGTGTCTCTGTTTTACGTTCTGTCTGTGTCAAATCTCTCTCCTCTGCCTTTCTCTTATGAGAACACTTGTCGTTGGATTTAGAGCTCTCCTGGGTAATCCAGGATGATCTGCTCATCTCAAAATTCTTAAGTACATCCACAAAGACCCTTTTTTCCATATAAGGTAATATTCACAGGTTCTAAGGATTAGTACGTGGATGTATCTTTTTGGGGACTACCATTCAACCCAGTACACCATCAATATTAAAGTTATTTGATTAGAGCTAAAATGCTTGTTTATCGACCTGTGCATTTCTCTGGTTTAATGTTGTATAACCCCAAAGAAGGTAGCGTTCATTTTATGAGTCACTATTAAAAAATGTTTAATGTCAGCCCTATCTGATCTAACAGAATCATTTAATGTGGATTCTTATTTTCCCAGGATCTATATCTGCATCAAGATGTTCTGAACAACCACAACTACAGTTAGGAATGTCTAATGTTACAAAATGACTAAAGCTAATTCTAGCATCTTCCGTTTTGCCATCATCTTTATGTTAATACTTGAGATCAGAATTCAGTTATCTGAAGAAAGTGAACTTCTTGTTGACAGGTCAAAAATGGATCTTACCCATGTTCCCAAAGATCTATCTCTGAAAACAACAATCTTAGATGTGTCACAAAACTCTATATCTGAACTTCAGGCTTCTGACATCTTGTCACTATCAAAGCTGAGGATTTTGATACTTTCTTATAATAGAATCCAGTATCTTGACATCAGTGTTTTCAAATTCAACCAGGAATTGGAATACTTGGATTTGTCCCACAACAACTTGTCGAAGATTTCTTGCCACCCTACTGTAAACTTGAAGCACTTGGACCTCTCATTTAATGGATTTGAAGTCCTGCCTATCTGCAAAGAGTTTGGCAACATGTCTCAACTAGATTTTCTGGGATTGAGTGCCACACTATTGCAAAAATCTAGTGTGCTGCCAATTGCTCATTTGAATATCAATAAGGTTTTGCTGGTCTTAGGAGAACATTATGGGCAAAAAGAAGACCCTGAGAGCCTCCAAGACTTAAACACAAAGAGTCTGCACATTGTTTTCCCCACACGAAAGGAATTCGATTTTGTTTTGGATGTAGCAGCTAGCACTGCAGTCAGTTTGGAACTGTCGAATATCAAATATGTTCCAGATGATAATGAATATTCTTATTTCATAAATGTTCTGTTAAAGCTTCAAAAGAATCCAAGGTTATTAAATCTTACTTTAAACAACATTGAAACGACCTGGAATTCTTTCATTAAGATCCTCCAGTTGGTTTGGCATACAACCATAGAGTATTTCTCAATTTCGAATGTGAAACTAACAGGTGAACTTGACCACGAATATTTCAATTATTCTGGCACTTCACTGAAGGCCTTGTCCATACACCAAGTTTTCAGTGATGCGTTCCGTTTTCAACAGGGTTATGTTTACAACATCTTTTCAAATATGAAAATCCAAAATTTAACAGTAACTGGTACACGCATGCTGCACATGCTTTGCCCTCTTCATATTAGTCCACTTGTGTATTTGAATTTTTCCAATAATCTCTTAACAGACGTGGTTTTTAAAAATTGTACAAGCTTGACTGCACTGAAGACACTTATTTTACAAATGAATCAATTAAAAGAACTTGCAAATATAATTTATATGACCAAGGATATGAAGTCTCTACAACAATTGGATATTAGCCAGAATTCTCTAAGGTATGAAAATGAAGGAAATTGCTTTTGGACTAAAAGTTTATTAATTTTAAATATGTCTTCAAACATACTTACAGACTCTGTTTTCAGATGTTTACCTCCCAGTGTCGCAGTTCTTGATCTTCACAATAACAGAATAGTGAGTATCCCTAAAGATGTCACCAGCCTGGAAGCTTTGGAAGAATTAAATGTTGCTTTCAATCATCTAACTGACCTTCCTGGATGTGGTACCTTTAGCAGGCTTTCTGTACTGATTATTGACTATAATTTAGTTTCGCACCCATCAGCTGATTTCCTCTATAGCTGCCAGAAGATTAGGTCAATAAAAGCAGGGAACAATCCATTCCAATGTTCATGTGAAATAAGAGAATTTATCAAAAGTATAAGCCAAATATCAAGTGAAATGGTAAAGGGCTGGCCTGAGTCTTATAAGTGTGCCTACCCAGAAAGCTACAAGGGAACCCCATTACAGGACTTTCACATATCTCAATTATCTTGCAACACAACGCTGCTGATCATCACCATTGGAGTCACTGTGCTGGTGTTGGTTGTTACTGTGACCTTCCTCTGCATCTGCTTGGATCTTCCCTGGTATCTCAGGATGATATGTCAGTGGACCCAGACCCGGTACAGGGCGAGGAACACACCCTTAGAAGAACTCCAGAGAAATCTCCAGTTCCATGCTTTCATTTCATACAGTGGGCATGATTCTGCCTGGGTGAAGAGTGAATTACTACCAAACCTAGAAAAAGAAGATATACGGATTTGCCTCCATGAAAGAAACTTTGTTCCTGGCAAAAGCATAGTTGAAAATATCATAAACTTCATTGAAAAAAGTTACAAGACCATTTTTGTTTTGTCTCCCAACTTTGTCCAGAGTGAGTGGTGCCATTATGAACTTTACTTTGCTCACCACAAACTCTTTCAGGATGCTTCTGATAACCTAATCCTCATCTTGCTGGAACCCATTCCACAGTACTCCATTCCTAGCAACTATCACAAGCTCAAAACTCTCATGGCACAGAGGACTTTTTTGGAATGGCCCAAGGAGAAGAACAAACATGGACTTTTTTGGGCTAACCTAAGAGCCACCATTAATATTAAGTTGATAGAACAAAATAAATAGATCACACATCAATAAAAAAATATTCCTCTTTTCAATGCTGCTGCTTTGGAAGTTCGAACAAGTTTAGTTTATTTTGCATTGGTACTAATCTGAACATAATTTTGAATTTGTGATGTAGATAAAAATGTGTGCTTTCAGGTACAAATTTACCACTTATAGGTGGCAATAAAATTAATGAAATGATATGTTGTTTTATTTTAAAAGTTAGTTAATTTCTAATACTTGTTGGATTCACCTGTTTCTCTGCTAGACCCAAGTTCAGTGAATTTATCATGTAATCAAGAGAATACCTGTTTAAACAACTCCAGTGATGCATACTCTTGTGTATCAAGGTCAATGTTAGAAAACTCCATGCTTTTATGCCTGTAGCTGAGTTTCTATAGCATTGCTGTTGGTACCCTCCCTACTTCCACTCAGCGTTCACTGCTATATGGTGAAAGCTGCTGATTGCTAATGCCAGAGACTCTATGCCTGAAGGATTTTCTTTCTGACCACAAGAACACAGTTGGCCTACACAGAGGACAATCCAAACATGCTGGAGAGTTAATGTTCTTGGAAGCAGCCCTCAACCAATGTCAGAAAGGGAAATGGTGAATAAATACTGCAACTTTCTCACCTATTTTTTGAGACAGCTCTAGGGTGTAGTCTATACTCTCCCTGAATTCCCCAATAGGCTAGAGTTCTGGTCTCTCACAGTAGAAATGGTTTGATTTTAAAGTATCTTTATGGATTTCCTTCCCTTTCTTGTCTCATTTCTTCATTTCTCTTTGAGTGTTTCCTGGGATCACCTCTGAAGTAAACTACGTGCAGATACTTGTCTCAGTGTCTGCCTCTGCGAGAAACTAGACAAAGACAGTGTTCTACCTCAGTCCAAATGGAAATTCTGAGTTTGGTCTTGTATGACTGAATATGTCACTGGGATTCTAGCTGTGTAAACTAGCATCAATGAGAGCTTTTGCTCTTTTTGTTGGAAGGAAGAATACAGTTGACGTACAGTGTTTCAATTCATAGTATCCCTCTCTCTGGGGAACTAACAAGTAGGGCATGAACAGATGGAAGCAGTGCAAGAAAATAGGCTGTATCAGATATTTTTCATACTCATCAAACATCTTCTCATTCTATCTTTTTGCTCCAGACGTTGCTGTGGCAACCAGCTCTGGGCAGGTTTAGCCCCACAGCACCTTGCCTTAGCTACACCATGTATCTTTTACTTTATACTCCAAGACTTCACTGTAACTGCTACATGGGATGCCTTGTAGAAGCCATTTTGGTACATGCACAAACTTGGAGGTGCCAGGGACATCCCCTGAGCTATCCTTGACCACTAGGGGGTGAGAGTCAGTGGATAAATACTCTTCTATTCTTGGACAAACAAATAGGAGGCATAATCTATACCATTTCTCAAAGGGTTCTCAACAAGATTGAGTCTCATTTACTAACAGAGATAACCAGTTCAGCAACTCACCCTTGGACTGATTTTCCCTCCTCCCCTGTTTCATTCTTACCAGCCTGCCAACATCCACCACCACCACGTTGAGCCCTGAGATTACTCCTCCAAACAAATTATCTACACAAAAATTCTTGCCTAAATCTCCACTCTTAGGCAGAAACCCAAATAAGACAGGTATATACAATTAGCTTCTGCTCTAAGGAACTTAGAGTGAATCAGAGGACATAACATGTATCCAAATAACTAAAATGAAAATCAACTACAATGGAAGTTCAGTGATCCTTAAGACTGTGTAAAAAAGACTTTCACAAAAGTGATAGTTTTTTCCATTAGGCCTTGAAGCAAAACTTTAACTTTGGATTTTTCGATGTGTGATGATGAAGAATGGAAAGACTATTCTAAATAGAGAGTTGAAGAGAGTAAAGTTAGGAGTACCTCAGACTCATTCTGGGACTGGTCTCCCAATTTGACTGAGACATGAGATTTGTGAAAAATGACAGTGGGATATTGTGGAAAGTTAGATTGTGGCCCTGTTGTCAAGTATCTTGAAAGTCAAGGTATAGAGCTAGAAATTAGGTACATAGGAAAGTTAGCATTTAAACTTCTATGGGTAAAATGTCCCTAGGTGGAGTAAATGGTTTGCACTTGACTGTTAACCTAAAGGTTGGTGGTTTGAACCCACCCAGCAGTACCTCGGACGAATAGGCCTGACGACATGCTTCCATTGAGATCACAGCCAAGAAAATACTATGGAACAGTTCTACTCTGTAACGCATGGAGTTGCCGTGAGTTGGAATTGACTCGACCACAACTAACAACAACACAAGGTAAAAGCTCCTAAACTTTCATGGGAGCTTATAGGGAAAAGCAAATTCAAACCATGAAATGAATGCTAAAAAAGGATAAAAGGACTTGTTTCTTAATAGAAGTTGCAATAGTTGTTAGAATTGCATTTTCCTTTTTTCTGTATGATGATTGAACTTCACGGCTTCATAATCAAGTTTTTAACTGCCTAGAAGCAGCAGAAGTTAACTACAAAACTCTGTAGGTGTAAATATATGTTATTGTTGTTAGGTATCATCCAGTCAATTTAGACTCATAGTGACCCTATGTACAGCAGAACAAAACACTGCCCGGTCCTGCGCCATCTTCACAATAGTTGCTATGTTTGAGCCCATTGTTGCAGCCACTGTGTCAATCCATCTCACTGAGGGTCTTCCTCTTTTTGGATGGCTCTCTGCTTTACCAAGCATGATGTCCTTCTTCAGGGACTGGTTCATCCTGATAACACATCCAAAGTACGTGAGACAAAGTCTTGCCATCCTTGCTTCTAAGGGGCATTCTGTCAGTACTCCTTCCGAGACACATTTGTTCATTCTTTTGACGGTCCATGGTATATTCAATATTCTTCAACAACACCATGATTCAAAGGCATCCATTCTTCTTTGGTCTTCCTTATTCATTGTCCAGCTTTTGCATGCATCTGAGGCAATTGAAAACACCATGGCTTGGGTCAGGTGCACCTTAGTCTTCAAGGTGACATCTTTGCTTTTCAACACTTTAAAGGGGTCTTTTGCAGCAGATTTGCCCCTGCTGCTCCCATAGATGTTGATTGTGGATCCAAGTGAAAGGAAATCCTTGACAGCCTCAATCTTTTCTCTATTTACCATGATGTTGCTGATTGGTCCAGTTGTGAGGATTTTTGTTTTCTTTATGTTGAGGTGTAACCCTCACTGAAGGCTGTGGTCTTTGATCTTCATCAGCAAGTGCTTCAGGTCCTCTTCACTTTCAGCAAGGAAGGTTGTGTCATCTGCATAACGCAGGTTGTTAATGAGTCTTCCTCCAATCTTGATGCTGCGTTCTTCTTCATATAGTCCAACTTCTTGGATTATTTCCTTAGCATGCAGATTGAATAAGTATGGTGAAAGGACACAACCCTGATGCAGACGTTTCCTGACTTTAAACCATGCAGTAGTCCCTTCTTCTGTTTGAACAACTGCCTCTTGATCTATGTACAGATTCTTCATAAGCACAATTACGTGTTCTGAAATTCTCATTCTTTGCAATGTTATCCATAATTTGTTTTGTTGCACACAGTCAAATGTCTTTGCACAGTCAACAAAACACAGTCAACATCTTTCTGGTATTCTCTGATTTCAGCCAGGATCCACCTGACATCAGCAATTCTATCCCTGGTTCCACATCCTCTTCTAAATCTGGCTTGAATTTCTGGCTGTTCCCAGTCGATGTACTGCTGCAGCTGCTTTTTCATGATCTTCAGCAAAATTTTACTTATGTGTGATATTAATGATATTGTTCAATAATTTCTGCATTCCGTTGGATCACCTTTCATTGGATTAGGCACAAATATGGATCTCTTCCAGTCAGTTGGCCAGGTAGTTGTCTTACAAATTTCTTCAAAGGCGAATGGGCACTTCTGGTGCTGCATTCATTGGTTGAAACATCTCAATTGGCATTTCGTCAATTCCTGGAGCCTTGTTTTTTGCCAATACCTTCAGTGCATCTTGGACCTCTTCCTTTGGTACCATGGGTTCCTGATCATATGCTACCTCCTGAAATGGATGAACATTGACCAATTCTTTTTTGTACAGTGACTCTGTGTATTCCTTCCATCTTCTTTTCATGCTTCCTGCATTGTTTAATATATTCCCCGTAGAATCCTTCAATATTGCAATTCAAAGCTTGAATTTTTTCTTCAGTTTTTTCAGCTGAAGAAATGCTGAGCATGTTCTTCTCTTTTCGTTTTCTAGCTCCAAGTCTTTGCACATGTCACAATACTTTACTTTGTCTTCTCGAGCTGCCCTTTGAAATCTTCTGTTCGGCTCTTTTACTTCATCATTTCTTCCTTTCACTTTAGCTACTTAAAGTTCAAAAGCAAGTTTCAGAGCTTCTTCTGACATCAGTTTTGGTCTTTTCTTTCTTTCTTGTCTTTTTAATGACCTCTTGCTTTCTTCAGGTATGATGTTTTGATGTAATTCCACAACTCCTCTTGTCTTCAGTCATTAGTGTTCAACGTATCAAATCTATTCTTCAGATGGTCTCTAAATTTAGGTGAGATATACTCAAGGTTGTACTTTGGCTCCTGTGGATTTGTTCTAATTTTCTTCAGCTTCCACTTGACCTTGCATATGAGCAATTGGTGGTCTGTTCAGCAGTCGGCCCCTGGCCTTGTTCTGACTGATGATATTGAGCTTCTCCATCGTCTCTCTCCACGGATGTAGTCGATTTGATTCCTATGTATTCCATCTGGTGAGGTCCACGTGTGCAGTCGCCATTTATCGGTTGGAAAAAGGTATTTGCAATGAAGAAGCCATTGGTCTTGCAAAATTCTAACACACGATCTCCGGCAGCGTTGCTTTCACCAAAGCCATATTTTCCAGCTACTAATCCTTCTTTGTTTCCAACTTTCAAATTCTAATCACTAGTAATTATCAATGTATCCGGATTGCATTTTCCATCAATTTCAGACTGCAGAAGTTGGTAAATATCTTCAATTTCTTCACCTTTGACCTTAGTGGTTGGAGCTTAAGTTTGAATAGTAGTCATATTACTTGGTCTTCCTTGTAGGGGTGTGGATATTATCCTATCACTGATAGTGTTGTCCTGCAGGATAGATCTTGAAATGTTCTTTTTGACCATGAATGTGAAGCCATTCCTTTTCAAGTTGTCATTCCTGGCATAGCAGACCATATGATAGTCTGATTCAAAATGGCCAATACTAGTCCATTTCAGCTCACTAATGCCTAGGATATCAATGTTTATGTGTTCCATTTCATTTTTGATGATTTCCAATTTTCCTAGATTCATATTTCGTACATTCACGTTTTGATTATTAATGGATGTTTGCAGCTGTTTCTTCTCATTTTGAGTCATGCCACATCAGCAAATGAATGTCCCAAAAGCCTGACTCCATGCAGGTCATTAAGGTCAACTCTACTTTGATGAGGCAGCTCTTCTCCAGTCTTTTGAGTGCCTTCCAACATGAGGGGCTCATATTCCTATATCAGACAATGTTCCACTGCTATTCATAAGGTTTTCACTGGCTAATTCCTTTCAGAAGTAGACAGCCAAGTCATTCTTGCTTGTGTGTTTTAGTCTGGAAACCTATCCACCATGGGTGAGCCTGCTGGTATTTGAATACCAGCGGCATAGCTTCCAGCATCATAGCAACATATAAGCCCCCACAGTACCACAAACTGAGAGATGGGTGGTGGACCATTTACATAAATCTATCATAATCATCCCCTTTTTAAGTGCCCATTCTTCCAGCGGACAAATTCATTTGGAAATTTCATCTTCACTGGCGATTTCCAAAAGTGTCACTTAAATCTTAAGTATAAATAAAAACATCTCAAAAAGTGTTGCTTTTAAAAAATTTATATGTACTCTGCAATCCACAATAAAAAATTGCAAGCTTATTTTACCACTTCACTTCAAGACTAGGCTTCTAGCTAACCTCTCCCCATCCCCTTCCAATCAGGTAATGCTGAAATTATGGAGCCATCATTCCTATTCCGCTCATCACCGCTTGGCCACTGTACCCAATCTGATGGATGGGATACATGATCTGAACTTTGACACATCAAAATCAGATAAAATTACAGTAAGTCTCCAAGGTTATGAATGTCTGACTTATGAACAACTCATACTTGCCCTTTAATGTTGTATAAACTTGCTCTCACTTTGTGTTATGGACTGAATTGTGTCCCACCAAAATATGTGCATCAATTTGGCTAGGCCATGATTCCCGGTGTTGTGTAATTTTCCACCATTTTGTCATGTGATGTGATTTTCCTACGTGTTGTAAATCCCACCTCTATGATGTTAATGAGGTGGAATAGGTGTCAGTTATGTTAATGAGGCAGGACTCAATCTACGAGATTGGATTGTGTCTTGAGCCAACCTCTTTTGACATATAAGAGAAAGAAGCAAGCAGAGAGACAGGGGGACATCATACCACCAAGAAAGCAGTGCCAGGAGCAGAGCATGTCCTTTGGACCTGGAGTCCCTGTGGGGAGAAACTCCTAGTTCAGGGGAAGATTGATGACAAGGACCTTCCTCCAGAGCCGGCAGAGAAAGCCTTCCCCTGGAGCTGATGCCCTGAATTTGGACTTCCAGCCTACTAGACTGTGAGAGAATAAACTTCTGTTTGTTAAAGCCACCCACTTGTGGTATTTCTGTTACAGCAACACTAGATGGCTAAGACACTTTGGAACTATTGAACCAACCCCCACTTGCAACAAATTCTTCATCACAATCACCTTCACTTGCTGCACATGCAGCTTTTAAATCATTGAAAAGGCTTTGAGCTGTTTCTTGCACTAAATTAAGGCTAAATAAATATTCACCAGTTCTGACTTACGTACAAATTCTTAAAGATACACTTAGAAACGGATCTAGTTCGTAACCTGGGGACTGCCTGTATAATGAAGTTACACAACATGCAATGCCACCAGCATGCAGTAGAGGGCAAAGGGGAGTTCAAGCTTCCCGGTAAAGCTTGACTCATTATGCTCCTGCAGCCAGTTGTGGCCCTGTCTTTGAATCACCCACACCTGAAGCTCTGACTGAGCTGGTGCAAGCCAGAAGGTAAGAATTTTTAGCTTTGTTTGTTATAACACTTACGAGAAAGAAATGAGTTGCATGGGTATTTTCTAAAAAGGAGATAATTTGAACTAGTGTAGATGGAAGGAAAGAAGACACATAAGATTTTCAGTATTTATTATTTTGCCTAAATTAATCTAAAGATTAAGCATTAGTGGTTCTGGGGCTATCAATCTGAGGAATTGTCTTGCAGGTATTTGAGGGTTTGGGCTTCTTTCCATTAGTTGCTGATTAAATCTGGTCAGTTCTTCTATCCAGAGTGGAATGTTCAAGAATTGTGGCAAGTTGTCTCTAGCTTTTATTTTCCTCTAATGCATGTTAACAACAACAGCTGGATGAAATCTCTGGCTAGTTAAATCTTGTTTGTTGCTCTTTTATTCAGTTTAGAAAGAGCTGCATTTGTGTAGTAGTTCTAAAAGTAGAGACACATATGATGGATCTTGTACAATGCACTTCTTGCTCAGTTTCCCTCAGAACTCCAAAGTAATCAAAGGTGGCCGTATGGCTGTGGTAGAGTGGAGCATAATTTTAAAAATGTAGACATTTAATTTCTGGAAGAGGTTTCTCGCAGAATGCCTAAACTGAGCTATTAATTAGGGATGTGTGCACTCCCTGAGTTTTGTTTCAATTCTTGCGAATTTGTAACACTCTCAAGATATACTTACACACAGGCAAATTCTTGAATGCTGAGACAGCCAGTAGAGTGTCACATAGCAGCTGCATACTGCTTCAGAGAGAGGTACCTGGGATGGGGAGGAAAGAAGAGGCAGCACTGTCATAGCTGGCCAGGACAATGGAATGAACCTTGGTAACCACATCCTGTTGTTATTGTTAGGAGCCATCCAGTCGGTTCTGACTCATAGAGACCCTATGCACAGCAGAACCAAACAGTGCACTGTCCCACACTATAGTCACAATCTTTGCTATGTTTGAGAACATTGTTGCAGCCACTGTGTCAATCCATCTTGTGGAGTGTCTTCCTCTTTTTCACTGACCCTCTACCTTACCAAGAATGATGTCCTTCTCCAGGCAATGGTCCCTTCTGATAACATGTCGTAAGTATGTGAGATGAAGTCTCACCATCCTCACTTCTAAGGAGAGCTCTCACTGTACTTCTTCCAAGACAGGCTTGTTTGTTCTTCTGGCAGTCCATGGTAAAAGAAGTCAACATTCTTTGCTAACACCGTAATTCAAAGGCATCAATTCTTCTTCCTTCTTCCTTGTTCATTGTGCAACTTTCCCATGCATATGAGGCAGTTGAAAATACCATGGCTTGGGCCAGGTGCACCTTAGTCCTCAAAGTGACATCTTTGCTTCTTAATAACACTTTAAAGAGGCCTTTTGCAGCAGATTTCTCCAATGCAATGAGTCATTTGATTTCTTGACTGCTGCTTCCATGGGTGTTGATTGTGAATCCAAGTAAAATAAAAATCCTTGACAACTTCAATATTTTATCCATCTACCATGATGTTAAGAGCCCTGGTAGCACAATGGTTAGGAGCTTGGCTGCTAACCAAAAGGTTGGCAGTTCAAATCCACCAGACACTCCTTGGAAACTCTACGGGGCAGTTCTACTCTGTCCTATAGGGTCATTATGATTTGAAATCGACTCGACAGCAACAGGTTGTTTCTGGTACCATGATGTTACTTATTGGTCCAGTTGTGAGAATTTTTGTTTTCTGTATTTTGATGTATAATCCATACTGAAGACTGTGGTCTTTGATCTTCATCAGTAAGTGCTGCAAGTCCTCTTCACTTTCAGCAAGCAAGGTTATGTCATCTGCATATTGCAGGTTGTTAATGAGTCTTCCTCCAATCCTGATGCTGTGTTATTCTTCATATAGTCCAGCTTCTCAGATTATTTGCTCAGCATATAGATTGAATAAGTATGGTGAAAGGATATAACCCTGATGCACAACTTTCCTGATTTTAATCCATGCAGTATCCTTTTGTCCTGTTTCAATGAGTGCCTCTTGGTCTATGCACAAGTTCCTCATGAGCAACAGTTTAGTGTTCTGAAATTCCTATTCTTCATAATGTTATCCATAAGCTGTTATGATCACACAGTTGAATGAATTTGCATAGTCAATAAGACACAGGTAAACATCTTTCTGGTATTCTCTGCTTTTAGCCAAAATCCATCTGACATCAGCAATGATATCCCTCCTTCTATGTCCTCTTCTGAATCCAGCTTGAATTTCTAACAGGTCCCTGTCGTTGTACAGCTGCAACCGTTTTTGAATTGTCTTCAGCAAAATTTTACTTGTATGTGATATTAATGATATTGTTCAGTAATGTCTGTATTCCACTGATCACCTTTCTTTGGAATAAGCATGAATATGGGTATCTTCCAGTCAGATGGCCAGGTAGCTGTCTTGAAAATTTCATGGCATAGATGAGTGAGTATTTACAGCATTGCATCCTTTTGTTGAAACATCCCCACTGGTATTCCATCAATTCCTGAAGCCTTGTTTTTCACCAATGTCTTTAGCGAAGCTTGAACTTCTTCCTTCAGTACCATCAGTTCTTGATCGTATGCTACCTCCTGAAATGTTTGAACGTCGACCAATTCTTTTTGGTACAGTGAGTCTGTGTATTCCTTCCATCTTCTTTTGATGCTTTCTTCATCATTCAATTTTTTGCCCATGTTGTTGTTGTTAGGTGCTGTCAAGTCAGTTCCCACTCTTAGTGACCCTATGTATGAAAGAACAAAAAACAGGCCGGTTTTGCCCATCAACTCCCTCAATACTGCAGCTCCAGGCCTGAGTTTTTAATTCAGTCCTTTCAGCTTGAGAAATGCTGAGTATCTTCTTCCCTTTCAGTTTTCTATCTCCAGGTCTTTGCACATTTCATTATAAAACTTTGCTTTTCTTCTCAAGCTGCTCCTTGAAACATTCTGTTCAGTTCTTTTACTTCATCATTTCGTCCTTTTACTTTAGCTACTCTACATTCAACAGCAAGTTTCAGAGTCTCTTCTGACATCTGTTTTGGTCTTTTCTTTCTTCTTTGCCTTTTTAATGACTGTTTGCTTTCTTCATGTATGATGTCTTTGATGTCATCCCACAACTCGTCTGGTCTTGGCCATTAGTGTTCAATGTATCAAATCTATTCTTGAGATGGTTTCCAAATTCAGGTGGCACATACTAAAGTTTGTACTTTGGCTCTTGTGGACTTGTTTTAATTTCCTTCAGCTTCAACTTGAACTTGCATATGAGCAATTGATAGTCTGTTCCCCAGTCGATCCCTGGCCTTGTTCTGACTGATGATACTGAGCTTCTTTATCGTCTCTTTCCACGGATTTGATTCCTGTGGATTCCATCTGGCAAGGTCCATGTGTACAGTCATTGTTTATGTTGTTGCAACAGGTATTTCCAATGAGTAAGTTGTTGGTCTTGTAAAATTCTATCTTGTAATCTCTAGCATTGTTTCTATCACCAAGGCCACAGTTTCCAACTACTGAGCCTTCTTCTTTGTTTCCAACTTTTACATTCTAATCACCAGTAATTATCAATGCATCTTGATTGCATGTTTGAGCAATTTCAGACTGCAGAAGTTGGTAAAAATCCCAATTTCCTCATCTTTGACATTAGTGGTTGGTGTGTAAGTTTGAATAGTAGTCGTATTAACTGGCCGTCCTTGTAGGCATATGGTTATTATTCTATCACTGACAATGTTGTATTTCAGGATAGAATTTGAATGTTCTTTTTGACAATGAATGCTACGCCATTCCTCTTCAATTTGTCATTCCTGGCATAGTAAACCAATTGATTGTCTGATTCAAAATGGCGAATACCTGTGCATTTCAGCTAATGCCTAGGATATTGATCTTCAAGCATTCCATTTCATTTTTGTCAACATCCAATTTTCCTTGATTCATATTTCTTATATTCCACATTCCGATTACTAATGGGTGTTTGCAGCTGTTTCTTCTCATTTTGAGTTGTGCCACATCAGCAAATGAAGGTCCTGACTCCATCCATGTCACTAAAGTTGACTCTACTTTGAGGAGGTAGCTCTTTCCCAGTCGTATTTTGAGTGCCTTCCAACCTGAGGAGCTCATTTTCTGGTACTGTATCAGACAATGTTCCTCTGCTATTCAAAAGGTTTTCACTGCCCAGTTTTTTCGGAAGTAGACTACCGGGTCTTTCTTCCCAGTCTGTCTTAGTCTGGAAGCTCTACTGAAATCTGTTCACCATGGGTGACCTTGCTGTTATTTGAAATACTAGTGGTATAACTTCCAGCATCTCACCAACGCACAAGTCACCACAGTTGGAGAAACTGACAGATGAGTGGTAGAAATTACAATCTAAACCACTTCATTTCATGATTGAGATCCCTTGCATTTGGATTTGAGTACCACCCAAAGCCCTGCTCTACCACTTACTTACTGGATCACCTTAGGTATGCTATTGATCCTCTGGACTTTAGCTGCTCCATCTATATAATAGGGATAATAGTAGTCACCACTTCATAGAGTTGTTGATAATATGTGAAAAGCACTTTTTTCCATGCTGGGCATATAGGAAACACTCAGAAAATGTCAGTCATTCTTACTCTTATGTTGTAAATATTCAGTAAGCAATTAGTTTTTGACACTTTCTCCATCTCTTTGTTTCATTGGGAACGGAGAAATTAGATGATTAATTATTCTTTGGCAGACCACCAATTGCCATCTCTTACTGTCTTTTGATGTGACCTTTAAATAAGAAGCTATTAATAAAAATCATTTTGTTTTTCACCTGCTTTCAGCATAGTAGTAGTAGGAGGAGAAATATCCTAATAATACATAATATTATTGATGCATTTTTTAATCAAAGGTTAAGTTTTAATGAAATGCCATAATGTATATCTATTGCTTGAGAGATAGGCACTTTTTATTTTACTGTGTTAAGAGAAGTTTGAGGAGAGTTATTGTGGCATTGGGCGTGGGGAAATGGTGGGTAAAAGATGTAAACTGTGACATCTCAACCCAGGGAATTCCAGAT